TCAGACTCTGGCACAGGATCGGGAACGTTGGAAGCACTGTCTGGCGCGTCTGCCTCCGCGACCCGAAAGGGGAAGCGGCGATGGAAGATGATGATGATCTATTGTCTTCTAATCAAGGCTGTGTCATCAGTTATGACAACTTTGGGCATGATTAATAACACTCTTTGCTCTGTAATTCCTTTGTATTACCCATCGAACAACGGCTGAAAGTTTATTCCGTTTACCCCACAAGTCGTCAACTTCCATCAGATGGTAGAGGCATGATGGAATTGTCACCTTGCCTTCATTTGAATGACTATTGACGCAGCAGTTGGCAGTTTCTCAGCGCTAATAGAACAGACAGTATTAGTAATTAGAAATACTATTTTTTCTGCTGCTTGATGATGTTTCGCTGATTTACTAGCTGAGGCAGATTGCCGAAATTCTCGGAAAGCAAATGCAAGTGTTGAAATGGATCGACCGCAAAAGCACACAGCTGGAACAACGCGTAAAGGAGTTGGCGACCGAAACACAAAAGACCAATGCGGATGTCAGCAGATTTAGTCATGCTTTATCATATTAAATAAAATATGCATCTGAAATTCTTTTATTTTACGCATCCTCCCAAGCGAAAGAATATCACAAGACCGAGCATTTAAGCTTAACATTCAAGCAGGAGCAAAGCACGAAGATGCTCACAGATCTAGAATAAATAATGAAATCAGACCTCGCAAGTAGCTGATAATCTCTTGACCACCTAACTTCGATTCCCCGTAAAATCGGTCAACGAATACGATCGGTACTTCAGCGATAGAGTAGTGCATTCGACGGGCGCGGAATATCATTTCCATTTGGAATACATACCCCTTTGACAAACACGACTGGATCAAGCGCTCGAGAACTTGCTTCCGGTACAGCCGAAAGCTTCCCGTCAGATCAGAGACGTTCGTCTGCAACAGCAGTTGTGCCAGAAGATTTGCCCCACGACTGACCATCTTTCTAGTCAGGGTCCAGCCAGCGACCCCACCCCCGGGAATGACCCTACTGCCGGTTACAATATCAAAATTTCCGCTCTGTTGCTTCTTGATGAAGTCCGCAATGTATTTTGGGTGATGCGACAAGTCGGAGTCCATCAACAGCACGAAGTTGCCACAAGCAAGTTGCAGGCCGGCCATGTACGCCGTACCGAGCCCAAGTTTCTGCGGCCGACCGAGAAGTTTCACTTTCTCTGGCCCGTACACATCGATCAGCTTCTTAACCACTTCTTGCGTTCCATCAGGACTGTTGTCATCAATAACGATCACCTCGAAGTCGAAACCATTTTCAGTCATGTACTTGACAATCAGCCATACGCATATGGCGATGTTCTGCCGTTCGTTGTAAGTCGGCAAGAGTATCGAATATTTATCCTCACTCATCTGCGTGCTAAGGTCATAACTGAACACCGTGTGGCATAGGTGAAAAAATTACACGAAACAAACGATAGTGACGGCAAAAAAGTCAGTGCGAAGACAAATTTTAATTTATACATTGTAAATAAATCACGGACATGTTAATGACGCCTTCCGGTAATCTCGAAAAGTTGCTTATCCAGTATAGCTTTAGCTACCTCACAAATGTTCATGCAGTCGTCGATTCCGCAGTGTATACGTCCTCTGTGGCTAACGTTGACTAAATCCAACATATGCATCATGCCGGCGGGGTAAACGAATACGTGCCTGTAGACTATTTTCTTCAGGTTTATCCACTGCTTCATGTAGGGCGGCACTTCCAACTTAGAAACGCTGCACTGTTTCGGCAGCATGATGTTCAAATCCCAGTCTCCGCAAGTAACGAATGCCCACTTGTCTACCATCTCGTCCTTTAACAGTCCCTCGTTGTCCAACCAAGACTGGAACTGGCGAAACACTTCTTCAAACGGCGATTCATCGTCGACCATCTCCTGTATGATACCTGTGAGGCTTGTACAGAACGGGGTGAGTATCGGATTGAACACAGGTCGCACGTAACGGTGGAACGTAGACTCGACTTTGGCCAGCTCGGTTGACAACTTCAGGCATGGGAACTCGATTATTTCCTGAGGTTCCAACGGCTTCAGATCTTGATGGCAAGTGGCTTCAAAATCGAGGATCAACAGATACTTCAATTTCTGGACCACCTTCTTAACAGAAGAGCCGAAGCGCCGAGCGAACGCCATCGCCTTACAATCAAACAGAACAGTAGTACAGCAACAATTTCACCAGTACCATAGCAGATACTGTAGCGAAACAAATTTCCATAATAAACAATTGTATTGTGAAATGACATTTAATATCAGAAACGTGCATTGCAGCGAAATTTTGCAAAAACGCATTTTAGCACAGACGAGAACATAAAACAGGGCTAAGGACTATCATTGTTTTTCCTCCAATGTTCGAAGATAATCGATTTCCTGCATGTGCAATCGAAAATGTGATACATCTTGCTAATAAGGTTTTCAGCTTCGCACACAAAAGACATGTAGTTTTAGCCGCCATACCGTTTTCCTATTTCTTCAGTCAATGGATCTACAAAAGATGACAAAGATATTCTCGATTATCCTGTTTTACTTCAAGATCTGCAGCAGGACTATTTATGTAAAGAAACCATTCAAAAACTTCTAACAAAAATGTTTGCTGACAACCTAAATACATCTGCTGTGCAACAAACCGACTGTACCTTTCTATGTCACCCCTCCCCCGCCGCTGGCAATTGTGTTCACATGGCTAGTCAAGAGGGTCTTCCAGGGTCGTTTTTTCTGATGCGTTGTCAAAATTTAGCACTCCAAACAAGTGCATCGTTATAACCATATGAAAGGAAACCGTGGAAGAGAGTATCGGATCGAAACAGTAAAAGTTTTTTACCTGTGTTTACGCGCCTCGATCTGTGACAAAACAAGCGCAAGACAGCCGAACATTTGAACACTCGTGTTCTTGCGCCTTCGCCAATCGTTACTGTAACTGATGGTGAAGTATCACACCAAATGGGTCGTCGTAATTATCTAAGAAAAAGCCGTATTAAAAGACGGAACAACAAAACAGTTTGTCGTACTGCTTGTTCAGCAGTGTTTCGCCTGGTCGCCATGTGCAAGACACCTGGTGTGGTCTTGAAATACCACAGTTCACCGTTTCCGTATACTTTCTTCACTCTTCATACGATACTGTCGTTATTTCGAATTCTTTAGCATATGTTTTGTTGTAATCACTTGAAAAAAGCGAAAAATCGGGAGACTGCAAAAAAACATGGATGAAATGCAAAATGGAACCGGTAATAGCGATTAAAATAAATCTTAACATTTAGCCAGGGTTTTGAGCGCCTGAATTTATTTACCATTATCATTAGACTTAAAGTACTGTTTTTCGTTATTCAAAGTCTTCATTATGTCAGGCGCCTTCAATTTGACTCGTTACAGCAGTCCAACAGTGTTTTTCTGACTACCTCGTTTCAGGAAAGCAAATTTCAGTGATTTCCACATTGTCTCCCTCGCCCATTTAATTCAAGCGAATTCTTGACAGTGTGTGTTGCAGGATAGAAACACTTAAGCCAAATGGTCATACCTTGACAGAGAGAGCTACGTGATAACGGCTGAAGAAAATACGCTTCCCGAAAAAACTATTTTAAAAGAAAAAAGCGAACAAACTAGAACAGAGATTAGCAAATGTAGCAAAATTTCAGGTCCCCGATTGGGGGCAGAGAACAAAGCAAACCGGTGGTCGAAGTTTTATTTCCAATGCCTACTGCAACTACATCGATGGCAGCATCATCAACGTCTTATGATCAACTTTTTGTACTGTGTGGCCTCAAATTTGAATTGAATGGACAAACAATTGAAAAGAACGTCGCACAGCGAAGCATAATTTTTTCACTTTGTCTTGACTGGACAGTCAGCCGTAAGGTGGCTTAAGCTGAAGTACAGCGAAAAACGACCCATAGGATCGGACAATGTGGCCATGCATTCTGTCCATTCTGGCATGACCATACCAGAATACTATACTGACCTAATTGTTGGTTATGTCAACAACTCTGTATCCGTATTTCGGCTGATTGCACAGAAGCAAAGAGGGGTAAGTTTCTTGGCCAAGGAAATTCGTAGT